GTGATTTGGGTTCCCTAGAAAGACATTGTGGCTTGGGTTTGCCAAAGAGAAATGGTAGCTTGGGTTCCCCAAAAAGAAATAGTGGCTAAGGTTCTCAAAAAGACATGGTGGTTTGGGTCTCCTAGACTGACATGGTGGCTTGGGTCCCCCCAGACTGATGTGGTAGCTTGGGTCCCCCAGACTGATGTGGTGGCTTGGGTCCCCCAGACTGATGTGGTGGCTTGGGTCCCCCAGACTGATGTGGTGGCTTTGGTTCCCCAGACTGTTGTGGTGGCTTAAGTCCTCCAGACTGATATTGTGTATTGGGTCCCCCAGCTGATATGATGGCTTGGGTCCCCCAGATTGACATGGTGCCTTGTGTCCCCAGATCGATATCATGGCTTGGGCCGTCCCAGGCCGACACCCTGGCTTGGGCCGTCCCGGGCTGACACCCTGACTTGGGCCATCCCAGGCCAACACCCTGACTTGGACCATCCCGGGCTGACACCCTGACTTGGGCCTTCCTGGGCCAACACCCTGACTTGGGGCATCCCGGGCTGACACCCTGACTTTGGCCATCCCAGGCCAACACCCTAACTTGGGCCATACTGGGCCGACACTGACTTGGGCCATCCCGGGCCGACACCCTGACTTGGGCTGTCCCGGGCTGACACCCTGACTTGGGCCATCCCAGGCTGACACCCTGACTTGGGCTGTACCAGGTTGACACCCCTGGTTGGGCCTCCCGGACTGACATGGTGGTGGCCTGGGTTCCCCGGAATGGCACGGTGGCCTGGGTACTGCCTGACTGGCACAGTGGCCCAGGTACCCCCTGACTGGCATGGTGGCCCAGGAACCCTGACTGACACTGTGGCTCGAGTACCCCCGGATTGGCACGGTGGCCTGGGTACCCCTGGACTGGCACGGTGGCCTGGGTACCCCCTGACTGGCACGTTAGCTTGAGCCATCGCAGGCAGACATTAATATTAGGTGTAATCATGAATAGTCCTATTGATCAAAACACCATTTATTATATCATTACAATTAATAGTCTGATCAGGGCTAAGATCCCTTCACATTTATTCTGTCAGTTGGCTATAAAAGGAAATATTACATACATATATATGTCAACTGAATGAGTATAGTCAGCGATGTGTCAAGGTAAGATCAGCTGCAGTTCAATAAACCCATTAAATCAGGGAATGATAATATGAAGTAGTAAGTCACTTTGATCTATCAGAGAAACAGGAGCCAATAAACTATGCAAGTCTGGGGGTTATTCTGGATGGGTTGGAGAGACATTGTGAAAGAGGTATTAAACTGGTGAGTCCTAAGCATCCAGGTGTGTCAGCATGTCATTGGAGTGATTGGGGACAAGTCATTTTCATGAAGATATTCTCTGACACTGATTAGTTTGGCTCTAGTCCTGGAGGTTGGAAGTACAGTAGGACCCCTGTATCTGTGGGTTCAGTTTCCATGGTTTGTTATCTGCAGTTCAACGTGACATGAAAATCTTAAAAAGAGGAGCAGGATTCAACTTGGAAAATGTAAAAGTAGTCCAATTTCAATGACTTTTTATTGTGAGCTAAGGTGGTCCAAAGTATATATTAGAAGTTTCATGACGTTTGCTCAAAAATAAGCAGAGAAAAAATAATGATTTTTGATACTGCAACACCTTGGAAAAATTTGTGCCAAATTTTTAATGTTTCAGATTTTTGTATTGGACTTTAGATGAACAATAAAGGTTAAAAACAAATTATATAGAAGGAATTGAATGACACATTATATTATATCCCCCCAAATTCTTAATTTTAAAATAAATACATAAAACATAAATGGTCAAGGCTATTACAGATTCCCTTCAAGGGATTGTAAAACCATGATTCCTGAATAATGTGTGTAAAAATCATAATGTGTGCAGTAGACCATCATTTAACACGGTAGTTATGTTCCTGAAAATGCTGTGTTAGGTAAAAAACCGTGTCAGATGAACTGAAGAACTTATGGGAAAAATAGGGTTACGTTCCTTGGAGCCCCAAAAAAGCCAAACAACTTTTTTTTATGCCTCTACATCTTACAAAAATAAAAGTGAATATGTAATTGTAGTTCATTGTTGTGATGTATTATGTTGTTTTTATTGGTTAAGACTACAAATGTAACAGAAATAATAGTATTTCTTACCTTAAATTGTGGGTGCTGGTGTTCGTGGATGATTGTGAAGAGTGGAGAGCTATGCTGTGGCCCTACTGGGCTGAAGTGGATGGTAGAGGTTCTGGTACTGAAGTCGATGGTTGTACTGGAGTGCCTAACTTTGTCATTCAGTCAGTCAGTCAGTCAAGTCATTCAGTCAAGTCAGTAAGTCATTCAGTCAAGTCAGTAAGTCAGTCAGTCACACAAACTCATGTTTACCTCTTTTTATGTGTGCAAAATAACACTTCATTATGGTTATCTTGTTTTAATATCTTTGTTTTCTTTCTTTAATTCTAAGACTTAAATGCTTATACCTTTTCTTGCCATTTTCAGCAATACTGGTATGCCTACTGGGTGTCATGATTGCTGGGCAGATACAAGATATAGTAATTAAAAGATCAAAACACAATTCACAAACACAAATAGCTTGTAGCAGAGAAGAGAAACTAACTGGACACTTATGAATTATGAATGTTAGGATAGTGGGGTGGTGTCAGGGGGTGGCAGGGGATGGCGGGAGGTCTCTCCGGCTGATCCACAACAAGGCGGCCGCTTGAGAAAAAGGAATTTTTTTTTTTCCCTTCCTGCAAACTGAACCGTGTTATATTAATTTTACGTGTTACATAAAATTGTGCAGCAATTCTCCAGTTGTGCTATACCCGAATTATGCCAAATAAATCCGTGCTAAATGACAGTCTACTGTATTCATAAATAACAAAGAAAATTTTACTAATAGGAGAATACCTCACTTTTGAGAAAAATAATGAAGTTTTATTTATGGATACAAAATATCAATAGACAGTGCTCCTTCCTTTCCTCAATCTCCTCACAGTATAAAACACCTATTTTCCACCAGTTCTACTCCACTTAAGCTTATGATTATTATACAGGTTGACCATCACTAATCCAGCATCACTGGGACCTGTAGGGTACCGGATAAGTGATATTGCTGGATTACAGAGTGGTTAGGTTAGAATACACTTAATCCAACGGCAATATTTATGCATCAGTGATTTTGCCCACTTTACACCCTATTTTTGGCCCATTCCATTGTTCCGGTCCACCAAACTTACAGCTATTTCGCTAGTATTCCTTCCATTCTGTTGATTGAGTACAAGAAACTGCTCATTTACCTACTTCAGCTACCCAATAAAGTGGTCAGAAATTGGTAATTTGGCCAATTTCATACAAATTTCAGGAGATGCCAATTTCCAAATAGGGTCTAGAATAAACAATGCAGGCATTCCTGGTACTAAAATAACATTATCTCTGTTCATTAGTCATGTCTCCAAGCCCCTCTTATATTACACTTGCTTTCAATTTTGAATTTTTATTTACACAAAAATTAGAAAATTTACTATGTAGAGTACTGCATTATTGTAATACTTGTATAAGCAATGTCAACCCATTCATGACAGTATATTAGACCAGCCAGATGGACACGTATTGGACAGTGACATCATTTGTTTACTCTTGAACATCGGCAAAAATTGAACATTTTCACTGCTTTGAGCTCAATTTCAGGATACTTTCCATTGTGAAACCAATCAAAATCATATCTATTTCTGTAAAATATCTTCCACTGTATCAAATGAGACCAAAAAAATTATAATACAACCATAAAAAACATACGAAAATACACCGCAAAGTCACTGTTTTACAAAATAAACACTCGCACTTTATTCTCATTATGCACTGTGTGCTGCAGGATTTTTTTTATATGGTGCACACTTACCACACAGACCTATTTTCTCACACGTAAACTTAAATTTACCAGTCACAGTTTATCTGAGTGAGCTGAGCTCATGGCGACTGACAGTGGCTTCAGAGCCACCTTATCTTCTATGGGCAATGTACGGTGTATGTGTTTTACACAACGAGAAGCATTTCTTTATTTGCTGAAACCATGGATAGGGCTAAAAGTGAGCAGGTTATAATAATAAATGGAGAAAAACAAATTGGAATGACTTATGCAGCAAGTAGCACCACTAAACAATAATGGTAGACAACTTGACTAATCAGAACTTCAGAATACTCAAAATGAAGTTTCAAATCCTGTTTAACTTCATAAACTGATACCCGAACACTTTTATTACATTATATTGTTTTGTATTGTAACTTCATAAACTAGCACCACTCTCCTTTTGTAACTACAATTATATATTTTTTTAATTCATGAAGTATCTTGTTACTTGTCTGTTTTTAGTTCCTATTAATACCAGGTATTACCTCCTTAAAATATAAAAATAAAACTACGTAGATTTTAGGACAAGACTAAGCTTTGTCAGAAATGCTGTGGATCCTATTAGCAGTCCAGCCCTGCAACACTTATTATTTTTCCAATGAAGCTGCACCATCATTAATGAATTTCAGTCATAATTGAAAAATATGCCACAATTCTGCAATTGTTGTACATCGAAAACTTCATAGAAGATTGCATCTTAATTAACAGCACGTTAGTACACTATAAGCCCAGAATCACAACAATTTTTTTTTAGGCATTTTATAACTTGAAAAAAATTTAGTCTGCCTATGTTAGAAGTAACTTATTTATGACCATAAAAGGTTAGTATGTACATGTACTTATGAAAACTAGTTGGCAGGGGCCTACTATAGCCAAGCAAATAAGCTTATATTTTCCAATCAATATGAATTTTTTGTAAGAAATACGATCATATGCACCAAGGCTTATAAGAATAAGGTGGAGATAAGCACTTTAAAAACGAGTAGTTTTTAGTCATTTATTTACAGTTTCTTTTAAAAGTTTCAGCAAAATCACATCATTTTGGCACAATCATTTAACATATTTATTGGTCTTATGTTAATATACAGTGTGTGTGTGTGTGTGTGTGTGTGTGTGTGTGTGTGTGTGTGTGTGTGTGTGTGTGTAATGTGTGTGTGTGTAATGTGTGTGTGTGTAATGTGTGTGTGTGTAATGTGTGTGTGTGTAATGTGTGTGTGTGTAATGTGTGTGTGTGTAATGTGTGTGTGTGTGTGTGTGTGTGTGTGTGTGTGTGTGTGTGTGTGTGTGTGTGTGTGTGTGTGTGTGTGTGTGTGTGTGTGTGTGTGTGTGTGTTGTAATGTGTGTATTTATGTCAATAATCACACAAGCATTCAAGCATTCCATTTACCTTTCGTTATAGTGATTCTTCTTATACCCTTCACTCAAACAACTTAATTGCCTTAAAGATAAACATTTTAAAAATTGCATCTTAAGCAATGAGGGATACATTCAAGTGAATTGTCATGTAAAAAATTTATATTTTGCATCGAAACTTAGATACCTAATGAAACTTTGATCAAATTTAGTATAATATAGTTTAATTCTATCCAACCTATTTAACATCAGCTTAGATTTAATAAAAATTATTTAACCTTAACAAAAATATTAATTTTCTTATGTTCAGACTGATTTTTTTGTAGTTATAATAAATATTAGCCTGTCTGGTAAAAATATTCTTGCCATATAAAGAAAGTTGGCAAGTTCAGCTTAAAAAGCAAGACACAGTAATTATACATACATTTTAATATTTTATTTTGTATTCATTAATATATACTGTATCAGATAAATGAGCACCACTGGACTACCTGGATCTAAGGTAACCTATAAACTATTGACAACACTGTGGCAGTGACGTGCAGTTTTTGCGAGGATAAATGTTTGAGAATCCATGACCATCAAAGATATTATCTAGACTCTGTGCCAAAATATTGAACGAGTAAAACCTCTGGATGTCATTAGCCATAGCTAATAAATGTGATCTTCAGCTGACATCACAGAAACAGATTACAAGTACATCAAGGTAACACCTCCAGAAGACATGGCTGCAGATAAGACACTCGAATTACTTATAACTTACACTCGCCCAAAAATTTCAAGAATTAGTAACAACCATATTTTTTGTATAAATTAATATTCACAAGGAGATATTATCCTGATATTTGTAATTTATTTTAAGAAGCAACCATATGTGAAAGATTGCAAATTTAAGAGTGCTCATTCCTTCAGTTTAGCAACTATCACCACTACGTATTCAACAAGACACTTCTCCAAGCCATATATACGGCAGTTAATGTTTCAAACCCACACTAGTCACAAACTTGTGATTGACTTTGAGCAATTACTCTATAAGACTTGTAAACAGCTGTATGGGTAAGTGGAATTTCCATTCCTCAATTAAAATATAATAAAACAATTATCCATATCTACAATATAGAGTATTAATGAACTTTGATCTAAGCTATCATTATTTGAAAAAACAAACTATACAGTGATATACATTTTTTAGGTTCTATAATTAATTATTCTAAAATACAGACCAAAATTAGTTAAAAAAAGATCATGTTTTCAGTATATGAATACTAATATATAATTAAATTTTGAATATTTAATTAAATAAAAGTTTAAACCTAGAATTGTATTGGAAAGTGAAAGGAATTTCACTTCCAACATATTGGTTCTGGTCATGTTAAAGTATAAATTCTGTGCATTATGTACAAGCCTGAGGACTACATAGCCACAGCTGTCACTGTGTTCAAACTCTTTAACTATAACTTTCTGTAATTTAACAATGAAATTTTATTCTTTCTACAAAAAAAAAAGGGGGGGGGGAGAGTTCGAGCAAGTGAAATTATAGCTAATCTCACATTGTTTGCATTTTTATCATAATTGGAGTCCTACATGTGGTTCTCCCCTTTTCAGTTTTATACTACTGCTGCACCTATAATACAAATCTTACTTATTTTTCATAATTTTTCAAGATGAATATGGCAAGTCTTAAGAGATACCAAATGTTATAAGTTATGGGGATAGTACTGAATATATAATTTGAGGAGCTATTACAAACTATTTTTAATGAACGTTTACCCCTTATACTGCTATATATATTAAATGGTAAAAATATCATAAGTAATGAATACACCGAAATAAGACTCCAAGAATGAACGTCATCTATGTCAGAATCAAAATGTTTTCATTTGTTGTTAAAAAATACGTCTTATCTGTGAAGTTATGATGAACCCACCACCTTCACTGTCCAGGATTCGTAACAGTCTTCATGGTCATATGAGCTTTATCAAATCCTAAAATACCAAGTGTATCTCCATTCTGTTACACCAAATCCTGGGTATGTAAGGCAGTTGCCTGTTGTAATGTTAGTTAAGCCATTGCTAACTTGGCCTCACTACGGCATTAACAAAAACTATGAATTTTTTATTCACTTCCTTCTCTTACTACTACTTGGATAATTCAATAGATGTGGGCCATCAAAAGGCAGTTGTCCAGCCAATGTACAGGAACGGCAGCAAAATCGAGCATAGTATTTATTTGTACAATACTGAGCACGAACTATCAACTTGCAATTTGCAAAGAAGGGGTTGTCTGTGCAGCTGGGATGTACATAAACTCCTGAAAGAATTAAAAATTATTACATGGGTGTATATTTAAATATATTTACTATACACGACAAGATATATATTTATTTGATAAATGGTTTAGTCAGAGATGATCAGATACATTTTAAGGTTTCCTCTTTCCACTTTTGTGGTAAAAACTTCTTTACCATGTTTATTCTTTATCCACCAACAGTTTTCCACAATGTATGAAGTCTAACTACAGTATCTACACAAACTGTTATCTCAACTTCTTTTTCTTGCAAGTAAAACTCTCTCTTTTCTGAGTTTAAGGGCACAAACACATGTCATTTTTTTTTACCTATATAATAACCATACATATTTTTACAGAATTCTACCATTTATTGAAACATAAAGAAAACATAATACAGTGGTATGTCAAGTTTCGAACAGCTCCCAACTCGAACAATTATGTAAGTGTATTTTTGGGGGTCTACAACGGACTAATCTAATTTACATTATTCCTTATGTGAACAAATTTGTTTGGTATCGGCACTTGAACAGCCTTCTGGAATGAATTAAGTTTGTAACTTGAGGTACCACTGTACATTACAGTCTACATACTAAAGTTTAAGTAATTCATATATAATTATGCAAAAAAGATACATATATGAAAAAGTTTTTAAATACACAGGGCCATCTTGCACTGAGGTAGGGTGACTCCAGAAAAAAGGAGGAAAGAGTCAACTTCATTTACTCAATTGCTGTCTTCGCAGGCTATCATAATTTAGATGGCCCTCTGAACTATGACATACTCACCCCTCTTTTTAGAGTGCAGACCCTGTACCTTATGAAGGGTTTCCATGAAACCCTTCATAAATGTTACCTTGCTCATACTCCAACAGCACATCAGGTCACAAAAGGCACTCTACTCACTCATGTTCACACAAGCCTTTTTGAGGGAGGTAGTAAACTACCTCCCTCAAACCTTCCTGGGACAACCCCTAACCCTCCTCTCCACCCAAAATTTATATACCATCCTAGTCATCCTGTTTTGATCCACTCTCTCTTAAGTGCCACAACCCCTCCTTATTCTTCTGAATTATACTTTTGGCAACCTCTAAACAACCAATATCCACATTTTAAATTCTATGCCTAATATTCACATCACTGTCAAACATGACATCTCCACTGCTTGAAGCTTCAATGTTTATAACGTGCACTTCACACCTATATAACAATGTTGGTACCACTATATTCTGTGGTACATTCCAATTTTTGCCTCCATGGATAAAGTTCTTTGTCTCCATACATATCTCAATGTACCACCCACCTTTTCCATTCTATGGTTTACCTTTTATTTTTTTATAGCACCATCTGCAAACAGGTTTATCCTCAAATAGCTATACATTTACTTCCTCTACGCTCTCTCCCTCCTATCTTTCACCATCTAGGTTTTTTTTACTCTCATCACCTTGCTCTTTCCTGTGTTCACTTTTAATTTCCTTCTTTTACATACCCTCCAAAATTCCTCCTCCAATTTTTGCAGCTTATATAATTTATTAGCCTGGTGGTTAACGCTCTCGCTTCACACGGTGAGGGCCTGGGTTCGATTCCCAGCCAGAGTAGAAACATTGGACGTGTTTCTTTCCACCTGTTGTCTATGTTCCCCATCAGCAAAATGGGTACCTGGGTGTTAGTCGACTGGTGTGGGTCGCATCCTGGGACACTGACCTAAGGAGGCCTGGTCACAGACCGGGCCGCGGGGGCGTTGACCCCCGGAACTCTCTCCAGATAAACATACTAGCATTTATTTCTTTTATAACCTCCATCTATAAATATGTTAAACAACCATCATAACATCACATATCTCTTGTCTAAGTCCTACTTTTATTAGGAAAATAACTCCCTCATATTTATCTATTCCATACACTTGCAACATCTGTGACAATGCTTTCCTACCTACCCTATCATTTACCTTATCTAAATCCATAAATGCAACATAAGGTTCCCTACCTTTAGCTAAGTACTGTTCACCATTATGCTTTACCGTAAATACTTGGTCTACACATCCCTTATCCATCCTAAATTTTCCTTATTCCTCTGCAGTCCTACTTTCTGTCTTACCTATAATTCTTTTAACCCTTTCAGGGTCCAAGGCCAAAATCTGAAGTGGTGCCCCAGTGTCCAGAAATTTTCAAAAAAAAAAAAAAAAAAAATTGTTATTTTTTCTTATGAAATGGTAGAGAATCTTTTTGTGAAGGTAATAAAACAAAAAGTACGAAATTTGATGGAAAATTGACGAAATTATGCTCCTGCGAATTTTGATGTGTCAGCGATATTTACGAATTGGCAATTTTGCCGACTTTGACTCCCATTTTAGGCCAATTACATTATTCCAGTCAACCAAATTCTTAGCTATTTCACTAGTATTACTTCCATTCTATCGATTGAGCACAAGAAATCGCCAAGTCAACTGTTTCAACTACAAAATAAAGTGATCGGAAAATGGTAATTTGGCCAATTTAACACAAAGTTCAAAATATTCCAATTTCAAAATAGGGTCCAGAATAAACAATGTAGGTATTCCTGGCACTAAACTAACATTTCCACTGTGAATTTTTATTCACACCAAAAAATAGAAGAGTTACTGTTATGCAATATTGTAATAATTGTATAAATATCATCACCACATTTGTGAATGTATATTAGACCCACCAGCTGGCGTATATTAGACGTGTGAGGTCGTTTGTTTACTCTTGAACATCGGCAAAAATTTAACATTTCCGCTACTTTGAGCTCAGTTTCAAGCCATTTCCAGTGCTAAAACCAATCAAAATCATCTCTATTTCTGTAATATGTCTTCCATTCTATCAAATGAGACCAAGAAATCGCAAATACAACTATAAAAAATATACAAAAAACACTGCAAAGTCGCTGTTTTAATCGAAAATCATGTTCTCAGTTCTTTTTCTCTCGTTATACACAGTGTGCTGCAGGATTTGTTTTATGTGGTGCACACATACCACCTAAAATCTGGAATTCATTACCTGTAAATATAAAAGAAACACTACCTGTTTATAAATTCAAGTCTCTTCTCAAAGATCACTTACTCACCCAAAACCAAATAAATACTGAATAACTGAACCTTATAAATTGTATATCTTAAATGTTTCTCACAATTATATCACATAAATGTTAAACCTAAAACCGAATCTAACTTTATTATTTTTTAAATACACTACCTAACAGAATACTTCATACGACTGAATGTACAACAATGCATGCAACCATATGACCTGTCTTTGTAATACTCACTTGTGCTTTATAGTAATCTGTTTACATTAATGTTTTATCACTGATTTCATCATTGCTTAGTTAATCTTAAGTTAATTTTAAGCCAGCCCGTAATGCTATGCATAGTATAAGTGGCTTTGGCATGCTGCTCTTATCTGTATTTTTTTGTACCTCTGTATGTGTGCTCAAATTGTAAATAAATAAATAAATAAATAAATAAATAAATAAATAAATAAATAGATGTATTCTCTCATATCTAGGCCCAAATTTACCACTCACAGTTTATCAGAGTGAGCTGAGCTCATGGCATAGATCTACGGTTTGGACCCTGAACGTAAAGCCATAGATCTACAGGATGGACCCTGAAAGGGTTAATACTACCATACACTTGATGCAGTATACTTGACAGGCTCATCTCCCTATAATCCTTAAACATTTTCATCCCCTTTTTCCCCTAAACTACATTCTCACATTCTTTTAACACTTCTGTCTTAATTTTGTCTATTCTAGCTGCTTTATTCCCTTTCATTCTACCCACTGCCTAACACATATCCCTTATATTCACAGCTGGTTCTTCCTTACCTCTCTGCTCAATGTATGAAATCATTATCTCCCTTTCTTCATTAACATTTAACAATGCCTTGAAATATTCCCTCCATTTTTCCAGTACCTCTACCTCCTCATCTAACATTTCCCCTCTTTTATTTTTCACTGATTCCTGGGTTTTCTTAACTTATTAATTTCCCTCCAAAACTATTTCTTATTCTCAGCAAAATTTATTGATAAATCCTCACCCATTCTCACACTGGCTCACCTTTTGCACTCACCATTTTTTTAACCTTTCCTTTTCTCTCCATATACTCCATCCTCTGTATGACACTTCTACATCCTAAAAGCCTCTCATATCCTTATTTTCTCTGCTTTACCATCCTCTTTACCTCATTTCACCCCTCATACTTCTATATTCACTAACTTCTGCTGCACACTCCAACACTTCATTCTTAAATCTACCCCCTTGACCCCCTTCCCCATTACCTATACTCCCAATCTAGTGAGCCTTTCTCCAATTTATTTACTTTCACCTCCCCTTCCATCCCTGAAGTACAACAAATTTTATATTCTTTTACATCTTCTACTATCCCATCTTGTCTATTCAAATATTACTCTTCTCTTTTTTACTAACCTCCTTTTATTTCTCTTCCACTGCCCCTCTCTGTTTATTTCAGTCTTTCTTTTGTACCTGTTTCAATGTCTCATTTCATTCTGAGTGTCCCTCTGTATATAAGCCAAGATTTTGTACTGTATATCTATTCCATGGTCAATCTTGTTGGTCTATTTCCTTATCCTTATTCTCTTGCATCATACACCTATTATACTGGCCTTTATTGAGTATTGCATTTATTCAGGTACATGTACTATATTATATATTTCAACTAAAACTTCTTCTTCAGTGATATTTACAATAAACCAAACAATGTACATATTTATTATTTATTCTGATTGCTTTATAATTAAATTTACTTGTTAATGAAGCTATAAGTGTAGTATTATCATATGAGAGAAAAAGATGGTAAAGAAATATGTAGCACAATTAAGTTTGAAGTCCACAAGTGAGTTGTCTCATACAAGTAGTATGGAAATCTAATTGTAAGGGCATGAACAAGAAGGTAATGAATACAAAATATAAACCATTTTGTGACTAAAGTTCATACCTTTGACAGTGATAACAGTGGTGCTGTCAGCAATGCCAAATTCATTTTGAACCTGGCATTTATATCGTCCTGAGTCACCAGTCTGTGCATCCTTAATTGCTAATGTCCTATCCTCTGGAAAGATAAGAATTCAATATTTGAGAAGTTTATCATACAAAAAACAATACTACTCCATCATAGGGAAATAAGTAAGTTACAAGAGACTATCTTCAATGATCTAAGAAAAACTTTTGATGCAGAAGACCACAAAATCCTGCTGCTTAAACTAGAATATTATGGAATCAGAGGCCATGCCCTCACTTACATTAAGTCCTGCCTAAGAGACAGATGCCAGCATGTGACTATTAATGACACAACCTTATCAACCCAGCCTATCAATATAGGGTTGCAACAGGACAGCATCTTAGGCCCTCATTGTTCCTGAGCTACATCAATGGCCTACTTAGTGCTTCTCAGGAACTTAAACCAGTCCTGACTGCAGATGACAACTTTTGTTTTATCAGATCCAAGATTCGTCCTCAACAACATATCAAATTATGGACTTAAACAATAATTAAGGTGTATTTTATACATACACAGTACACAATTTTTTTAACATACTGGCCATCTCCTACCGAGGTAGGGTGACCAAAAAAAAAGAAATTCTTTTACCACCATTCATGCTATCACTGTCTTGCCAGAGGTGTGTAGAGTGCAGGCACCATACTTCCCACCTCCAGGACTCTTGTCCCATTAACCAGTTTCTCTGAATCGGTTCACAAAATGTTACCTTGCTCACACTCCAACAGTTCATCAGGTCCCTCCAAAAGTTTTCTGCCACTCCTAACACACTCACACATGCCTGTTGGATGTACAAGCCCCTTGCACACAAAACCTCTTTTATCCCCTCCCTCCATCCTTTCCTAGGACAACCCTTGTCCTGTCTTCCCTCCACTACAGATTTATATATTCTCTAAGTCATCCTATTTTGCTTCATCCTCTTAATTACCAAACCACCTCAACAACCCTGTCTCAGACCTCTGAATAATACTTTTAGTAATCCTGCACCTCGTACTCTCCAAGCTATGAATTCTCTGCATAACATTCACACCACACATTGTCCTCAGACACATTATCTCTACTGCCTCTTGCCTCCTCCTTGCTGCAACATTCACAACCCATGCTTCACGCCCATAAAAAGAGGTAGATTGACTCAAAAAAGAAACTTTAACCATCAGTCGCTCTATCACTGTCTTGTCAGAGGCGCAGGGATATTACAGTTCAAATGACCCTCTAAACTGTAACTATCCCCACTTCTCTAGAGTGCAGGCACCTTCAGGACTCAAGTCTGGCTAACTGGCTTTCCTTACTCCTTCACAAAATGTTACCATGCTCACAGTTCAGTGACAGACTGCTGTGATATATTTTAAAAGAATCTTCCATCCCATGGTAGTTGATTACTGATGAGTTGAAGGGTTACAATATCCAGGAAGTTGTGATGGCTTACAGATCATCACAAAGCTTTACCCAATAATAACTAAAACATAAGGTGATGTATTCTAACTACTTTTTTCAAATACAAATATTTTTTCAAACAGTATATTTTTGTGTTAAGCACTCATAAGATGTATAACTGGCCACATTTTAAAATAAAAACGACTTATGACTGATAGCATGCAGTAACATCATTGGTGATGAAGTACAAATTAGCAGCAAAACATTCCTTTTTTTCCATTCTTGTCAACAAATACAAAATACATGTTAAAAGTAATAATTCTCTGACTTACCTTCAATCTCATATTTTTCAGAGGCTTCTACAGGATATTCTCCCTTAAACCATGTTGTTACTGGATGTGGATAGCCTTTGACTTCACAGGGTATACGTATAGTTGAAGACGGTGTGAACTCAGTAGTGTTCAGACGGATTATGGCACGCAGTGGAACTGTGTGAGGATTAACTTATGAGACATAGTTTTTTGAACAGTCATAAGAACATAAGAAGGAACACTGCAACAGGTCTACTGGCCTATGCGAGGCAGCTCCATTTCTCCCACCGGCTTAAGCCAATGCCTTAACAGAGTGAGGTCAGTAACGTCACTTAAGGGAGGAGCAGTGCATCTGACCTAGTAGCACAAGCTAGTCAGGTCCAACTCACACCCACTCATGTATTTATCCAACCTATTTTTAAAACTACACGTCTTAGCGTTTATGACGGTACTCGGAAGTTTGTTCCACTCATCCACAACTCTATTACCAAACCAGTGCTTTCCTATATCCTACCTGAATCTAAATTTTTCCAATTTAAAGCCATTGCTGTGAGTCCTGTCTAAGTCAGATATTTTTAGCATGCTATTTACATCCCCTTTATTAATTCCTGTTTTCCATTTATATATCTCAATCATATCCCCCCTAATTCTACACCTTTCTAGACAGTGCAGGCTCAGGGCCCTCAGTCTATCCTCATAGGGAAGATTTCTGATACATGGGATCAACTTTGTCATCCTCCCTTGTATGTTTTCCAGTGCATTTATATCCATTCTGTAATACGGTGACCAAAACTGTGCAGCATAATCTAAATGAGGCCTAACCAAAGATATATAGAATTGAAGAACAACCAGAGGACTTCTATTATTTATACTTCTTGCTATGAAGCCAAGGATTCTGTTAGCTTTATTGTGAACACTAATGCACTGTTGTCTTGGTTTTAGATTACTACTAACCAGAGCTCCTAAATCCTTTTTGCAATCCGTAATATTAAGATCTACATTATTTAGTTTATATGTGGCATGGTTATTTTCCTGTCCAACATTTAGAACTTTGCATTTGTCTATATTAAACTGCATCTGCCACTTCTCCGACCACTGCATCAGTCTATTCAAATCATCCTGGAGTGCTCTAATGTCCTCATTAGAATGAATTGGATGGCCTATTTTGGTGTCATCAGCAAATTTACTTATGTCGCTATTTATTCCCTTATCTATGTCGTTTATGTAAATTGTGAACAACATGGGGCCCAACACTGACCCTTGTGGAACACCACTGTGACGTGCCCCAATTCTGATATCTCCCCATTTATGCAAACTCTCTGCTGTCTATTTGTCAGCCACGCCTCAACCCAGGAAAATATTTCTCCTCCTATTCTGTGTGCCTTAAGGTTCCTCAACAGCCTCTGATGTGGAACTCTATTGAAAGCCTTACTGAAGTCCATATACACAATATCATATTCAATACCATGATCTACCTCCTCAAATACCTTAGTGAAGAAAGTTAGTAAATTCGTAAGACAGGAACGCCACTTTGTAAAACTGTGCTGAGATTCAGTAATTAATTTATGCCTTTTGAGATGGCTACGAACTGCTTCAGTAATTATTGATTCCATAAATTTCCCCACTATGGAGGTGAGGTTTATTGGCCTATAGTTTGAAGCTAAGGACCTGTCACCTGCCTTGTAAATAGGTATTACATTTGCCATTTTCCACTTATCAGGCACTATGCCAGTTTGTAGTGATATGTTGAAAAGATCAGCCAAGGTATGCTAAGTTCCTCTTTACATTCCTTTTACACCCTTGCAAACAGTTCATCAGGGCCTGGGGATTTGTTAGCTTTTAATTTCTCTATTTGTCTGAGGAGCATATCACTAGTTACCGCAATCATGCAGAGTTTATTATCGTCCTGTTCTACATAATCTATTATTTCTGGAATTTCGCTAGTATCTTCCTGAGTAAAAACTGAGAGGAAGTAAGAACTGAAAATTTAACACATATCCTTATCACTGTCAGTGATCTGACCTGAGCTACTCTTAAGTGGGCCTATCTTGTCCCTAATCTTACTTCTGTATACCTGAAAGAACCCTTTTGGGTTAGTCTTCGAATTCCTTGTGACCTTAGCCTCGTAATCTCTTTTTGCTTTTCTTATTCTTTTTTTTATCTCTCTCTTTAACTGAATATATTGATTTCTTAAGTGCCCCTTCCCTCTTTTGATATGCCTATATATGCCTCTCTTTTGACCAATGAGATGTTTTAATCTATTGTTCATCCATTTGGGATCATATTGTACATGCTTTGTATATTCTTTTGCCATCATCAGCATAAGTACACTTTAAATACTGACAACAAAGATTTAAGTCCTGTTAATTTAGATACAGTATCTGAAGTTATGGCAAATTACATAATAAATAATGTTTAATTCAGCTTGTCTTGAATAATCAACAGTCTGATATACCCTAAAGATATCTAATAATAATGATTTTTTTAACGAAATGCCAGGAATTACAAACAAATACAATATCAAAAGTTCTGGGATTAGTACTTAGAAATGTAGTTTATGTAATTAAATTTAATCTAAATATGATTGAATCTTTGTTTTCTCTTACTTGGTAGCTGAAGAAAATCATATTAATATTGTATTTTTTTTTTATGGAGAACATGCCAGCAAAAGACTGCCAAAATATGAAAAAATTAGTATTATAAAGTAACCATTCCTTGATTAAAGTAAGCCAGTGACAGCTACACAATAAATAGGTACATCACACACACAAAATATATAAAGACTTAATGAAATATGTATAATTATGTTTATACATTGAAAAATTAGTAATCCCAGGAAAAATAACATGCAAGACCTCACCTATGTACGGTCTAGGAGTTGTTGGTCGAGAAGCAGATGTGGTTTTTTGAGTAGGCGGTGGTCTATATGCAGGCCAATAAGGTCTCTCCCCAGGACGTATAGCAGGGAAAGGAGTGGTAGGAATAGTAGGTTGAGGGGGTTTGGTGGAGGCAGGAGCCTTGGGTGGGTCAACTATATACTGAAGGAAATCCCGGTATTTGTTAACTATATTGTAGACAGGCCCAAGAGCTCGCAATACAATTGTCTGAGATTTAGCCTGCCCTTGACCATTGTAAACATGACAAGTGTATGGACCAAGATTCTGAAGATTTACTACACGAATAGTTAATGAGCCATCTCGGAACTGTTCATATTGCAGAGAGGACAGTGGTAACATGTCAGAATTTCGCCACCATGTGACAGAGGGTCTTGGCCAGCCAACAGCTCGGCAATATAGCGAGGTGGGATTTCCCAGTGAGACCACAGGAGATTCATGGTTCCAAGGCACTACAGCTGATTCTCGTGGTTTTGGATCTGACATGCAAGTTTTATTAGTAGGTGCAAACCATCACCTTAAATATATTAATCTCTAACCCCTTCTCAGTTCAACTTAAGCATAATTTTTGATGATTAAATTAGTATAGAAGTTATTACCAATTTGTATCACAATTGTCAATTATCTGTTAATGAGATTTGAATTATTTTACAAAATAGTGTAATAATAGAGGAATCAGCCTCTTAGGTATACTGGGGAAAACGTACATTAAAATTATTATTGAAAGACTGTGGAAAAGCAAGGAGTATTTAGGAAGAGTAGGTAATGTGTAGATCAAGTGTTTACATTAAAGCATATAATCAAGCATTACTTAGATAAGGGTAAGGAGCTCTTTGTTGCATTTATGGATTTAGAAAAAGCTTATGATAGGGTGGATAGTGCAGTAATGTGGCAGATATTCCAAATGTGTGGATAAGATGACAGGTTACTAAAAGAAGCAAAGAGTGTTTATGCAGAGAGTGAGGCTCAGGTTAGAGCATGTAGGAGAGAGAAGGACTATTGTCCTGTGAAGATAGGACTTAGAAAGGGATGTGTGATGGCACTTTGGCTAATGTATTTATAGATGGGGTTGTAAAAGAAGCAAATGCTAGAATGATGGGGAAGTCCCCATCATTCTAGGACAAAAAGATGATGAATTTAATATGCAGTAAGAGTTGTCATATCTGCTCTTTGCCAATGACATAGGTCTTTTGAGGAATTCTGTGGGTAAATTCCAAAGACTGGTAGATGAAATAGGGAGGATATATAAAAGAAGATATTAAAAATGAACAAAGATAAGAGTAACAAAAAGTCTAGGCAATACAAGATTGGATATCATATTGGAGGGAGTGAATGTACTTAAGTATATGGGAGTGCACATCTTGGCAAATGGGTTTATAAAAGACAAGGTGAATCATAGAATGGATGAGGATGGGGATGGGGGGAAGGGAGGTAAGTGGTATGTTAAAGCATCTGTGAAAAGAAGTTTATATATGTAGGCAAAGAAGGGGGTATGTACCAGAGTATAGTGGTACTGACATATTTGTATGGCTATGAAGCATGGGCTTTGGAAGATGCAATGAGGAGGAGGATAGAGGAAGTGGAAAGGTTATGTTTGAGAGCAATGTGTTGAATGATTATCATGCAGAGAATTTGGACCATATAAAGGTTAACAAGGATAAAACTCAGAAGTCTGAGGAGAAGTTACTGAGATGCCTTGGGTATTTAGAGAGGATGGGATGAGATATAGGATCATGAAGACATATAAACCTGGGGTAGAAGGAAGGAGGAGTAAGGGTTATCCTACAAATGGTTATAAGGAGGGGGAAAAGAGCATTTTCAGGGAAAGGGCTCGAGCAATCATCAGGCTAGTTTGAGTATGATAGACTGGAGTCAGTGGATACAAGTGATTTTAAATGCTTGATGTGCTGTGGGAGTGTGAGCAAGGTAACATTAATGAAAAGATTCAGGAAAACAGGTTAACCAGACTTGAGTCCTGGAGGTGGGAACAGCAGTGGTTGCACACTGAAGGAGAGGTTGGAATGTTGCAGTTGAACAGTAATCTGAATTGTGATGGCAGCACACTTCTGGCAAGACAGTCACTGAATAAATGATGGTGAATGTGTTTCCTTCTTCAAGTCACCCTTGGTGGCAGATGGCCATTAAGATAAAAAAAAAATTCATTATAATAAACAAAATTCTTAAGTCTACAATATACTACTAAATAAAAATGAAGTTTATAATATGACAAATGCTATCAAGTTGAACTGAGATAGAGATAACAGATATAGAGGTAGCTATGTTCATTAGTATTAGCTTATGATAAATCTCAATAAACAGTAAAACAACAAGTTAAATTAATTTATTAATAAATTTAATTATATATTAATTATTCTGTTGTTTGCATACTGACAAAGTATTTAACTAACTTCAGTAATATTTAATACATAAATAAAAGCCAACATCAACATAGTACTGCCATGAGACTGCATTAATAACAAATAATAATAAAATTAATTTCTTATAAATGAACACCTGTTAATGAATGTACAGTACAAGATAAACTGAACAATATGGCAGAATATATGGAAACTATATAGTCAGTATGTAAACATTTATTAAATGTTAATAAGAGAGAAAGAAAACATCACCCAAACTCATGCAATTGTTAAAAAATTATAACTACCATAATTCAACTAACATTATCTTTGCATACATTATAGTACCTATAACAGAAAATTTATTACCCTATTTTAATTTATATTTCGTGCATTTAAAAAGTCCTGACAGTTATGAAAAAATACATATTTCCCAATACATGTATATTAGAAATATTAATTTGTACAGTAGGGCCCCACTTATTTGGCAGGTTAGGTTCCAGGCTACTGCCTAAAAGCAGACATCGCTGGAAAGCAGAATGCCATTTTTTCTACTTATAAATGCATATAAATGCCAGATAACAAGTTTACACTAACATATATTAAGTTAGCAATAGAACTAGGCATTAAAAACAATAAAAAATATTATGATAAATTAGACACATGTGCAACTCTTGGGTATCTTTATTGAGGAAACGTTTCGCCACACAGTGGCTTCATCAGTCCATACGTAGGAGAAACTTGAAGAACAGGAGGAGAATGAGGTAATCAGTCCCTCAACCTTGAGTCGATGTGTTCAGTCCATCAATCTTGAATAGAATACGGCATATGAGCAGAGAAGCAGCTTATAAACCGTATGGCAGAAGAGGTGCAGCAGTCATAGGTGGTGTCACATTTGTTCAATGTGGAAGTAGGTCGTGCCCAAGAATTAGGCAAGTGAAGAATTCCTAAGTATTAAGGTCCCAAGAAGTTGCAGTGTCTGACAGGTTTGTAGATGAATGGTTCAGAGAACCGACATGTTGATAAATTAGACACATGTGCAACTCTTGGACTGATGAAGCCACTGTGTGGCGAAACGTTTCCTCAATAAAGATACCCAAGAGTTGCACATGTGTCTAATTTATCAACATGTCAGTTCTCTGAACCATTCATCTACAAAAAGTATTATACACACAGTACACTCATTACTTACCTTAAAATATTTGTAGTCTTAATGTAGGGTGAGAGGTGAGTTTTATTTGTAGGAAGTCAGGCCTGGGAGGTATGGTAGCCAGCAAGGTCAGCCCACCCCACCCACATGTAATATACTATGACATATAATTAAAGCACCCCAGAGTAATAAAATACATATACAGTACATTCATTAATTACCTTAGAATATTTGTAGTCTTAATGTAGGGTGAGAGGTGAGTTTTATTTGTAGGAAGTCAGGTTTGTAGGAAGTATGGTAGACAGCCAGGGCTGCCCTCCCTACCCCACTCTGCCCAATCCACACGTAATGTAAACAAACCAGGCGAACATGTCTGGTGTTCGTTCATTCACGTTTGTATTATACCATAATACAAACACTTTACGTAGTGTACAAGTTGTCTCCACGTTGATACAGTAGAATAAATAAAGATCTACACTTCCATTCTCATGTAATTTTTAGAAGGAATGATGCTCTTACAAATTATTATTATTACAAGTTATTATTATTAAAAATTATTATTATTATTACAAGCTATTATTATAATCATAATAAAAAAGAAGTGTTAAACCCACAAGGGTCATGCATAGCTATAGAGAGAGTGAAGGCATACAAAAGGAATACATTCTAGTTAAGTTACTGGTGTCTGACTAGAGAAAACGTATTTCTTCGACTCTCCTACCAAACGCTTGGTAAACAAATCTGATATTTATGTCAATTTTTATATTGTGGGTGTATGTATCATGTTTATATGTTACATATCATATATATTATATAATTTTGAAAAAATATCATAGATGGATTAATGGAAATGTCTATATTAACATAATATACAACAATATGCCCAAGAGATTATATGGCGTCAAGTAGAGAGACTCTTAGCGATTTTAATGTGTACCTTCACGCCAGTAGTGTGTAAGTATATTTAGGTACAGGTACACATAAGTATAATTATCAGAGTACATATAAAATATGCAATAACTTTAAAACACTTGAAATTTTGGAAAATTTCCAGACATAATAGAGAGTTGTGCTCACAAAAAATGTAAACAAACAGAGTGGGGCATGCCGTATATGAAAGACCCTTGCCGTATAGCAAATTTTGGCCATAATTTCAAATCGCCATATTAGTGGAATGCCGTAAGGCGAAACGCCGTAAAGCGGAGCCCTATTGTACTTTAAATATGTTAAAGTTTGAAGAGAAGAAACACACAAAAAATACCTTTGAGATATCACTACGTCTGCTACAGAACAATTAATGAACATCTTGAGTAATAATAACCTGGGCCCTCGAGAGGAATATTATCACATATCATAATGCATTATGACCATGCAACCATACAGTCTTTTTATTATATTTGCATAAACATAGTAACATGCAGATAGAAGACTTTCATTCATTCTGTACATTAACAGTGTGACAGTATTAATGGATATTATTACAGCCTCTCCTCACTTAAAAACGGAGTTCCATTCCTAAGACCACATCATTAAATGAAATCATCGCTAAGTGAGGAGCAAACCACAATGGTAGTGAGTTTGTGTCAACCATCTTTGATATTGTTTTAATGTCACCTTTGCACAATTTGTAACATTTCTGGTATATTTTTAAATGTTTATACAGTACAGCCTCTCCTCACTTAACGACAGAGTTCCATCCCTAAGACCACGTCAATAAACGAATCTGTCACTAAGTGAGGAGCATACTACAGTGGTACCTTGACTTACGAGTTTAATCCATTCCATGACCTAGCTCGTGACTCAATTTGCTCATATATCAAATAAATTTTCCTTATTGAAATTAAGTGAAATGCCTTTAGTCCATTCCAATGGAATTCCTGCTCTTGGGAGGCAGGAGAAAATATTTCAGTATAATGCTATCAACTCTATGGCTAATTTATCTATCACAATTGATCTAATATGACATAATAAACAATATAAATAACATAGAAACATGATATATACTCTAGAATGAATAAAATATGTCATTATGTGATGAGTGGTGGCGGCCACTCCCGCTCCCACTCTGACCATATTTTCCCAATTCTTCCTCTTCTGAAAGTGGAGTGTTTGTGAGGCTAACTGCACCAGATCATTAGTTTCATAAGGAAAACACTGAAACAATGTATTTATAAATAAGAAATATTGTACAATAACATAAGAAAACATAACTGAGAATGTAAAGAAATAAACTGGTTTTATAAAGTGTACATATTTACTTTGGAGAACAGATGTTGGTGGAGGTGGAGGGTGGAAAAGATAGGCTACTTGCTACACTCTTAACGCTACACTTTATCGCTGAACTTAACTGCTACACTCTTAACGCTACACTTTATTGCTTGGCTGGCACTATAGCCTTTATCGACTCCTGCTTTAGTATCTTGCATATCGTAGAAGTACGTACTATGCTGGTACTGCTTGGCCAAGTCCACAACCTGCACACCTTGCTCGTGTTTGTGATTTAATTCTTTAATTCAATGGACATCATCCTCTTTTTCTTCTCAGCACTGTCCTTTGCACTTACTTTCTAAGGACCCATGGTTAGAAAAAAGAAATTTGGCAAAATACAACTGCACAAAAAGCAAGCACAACATAAGAAAAATGCTTCCACGCCGAGGTAAACACATGCACTGTTGAGCGGATGTTGTAGTGTTCACTGCACCAACTGGTGGCAGCATTCTGAAGCTCGCTCATAACTCGGAGTTTGGTTTGTAACTCAGAGCAAAAAATCGACCAAGTGACGGCTTGTAACTCAAAAAACTCACATGTTGGGGCACACATTAGTTGAGGTTCCACTGTATAATGGTAGCGGGTTTGTGTCGACCATCTTTGATATTGTTTTAACATCACCTTTGCACCATTTACAACATTTCTGGTATACAGTGGTACCCTGAGTTTTGTACATAATTCGTTCCAGAAGGCTGTTTGAGTGCCGTTACTGAACGAATTTGTTCCCACAAAGAATAATGTAAATTAGATTAGTCTGTTTCACACTCCCAAAATACACTTACAAAAGCACTTACAATAATACACTTACATAATTGTTTGAGTTAGGAGCAGTACGAAACTCGGGGTACCACTGTACAGTGGACCCCCGGTTCGCGAAGTCACCGGTAACCGATAAATCCGGTATCCGAAGTGATATATCGCCAAAAAATTGCCCCGGTTCCCGTAACAAAACCTGGTACACAATACGATTCGTACGAGACATGTCCACATGTGGCCTGAACTGCCCCATGTGTGCCAGTGTTTACAAGCCAGCCAGTGTGCGCGCATCTAAGGATACATTCGGTACATTCCATATTATCCATGTTATCACTGTTTCCGGTGCTTGTTTCTGCAAAATAAGTCACCATGGGCCCCAAGAAAGCTTCTAGTGCCAACCCATCGAGACCAAGGGTGCTATTGACTATTGAAATTAAGGAAATGTGTGCAAAGTGGCTTGAAGTGCAAACCTTTTTTGATGAAAATCACCCTGACACAGCTACTGCAAGCCGTGTTGGCAACCTGTACACTGACAATGTTGTGAACCACTTTAGGAAAGTCATAAAGGAACGAGAGGTACAGGTCTCTATGGACAGATATGTTGTGCGACAGAAGTCCAGTGACTCTCAAGCTGGTCCTAGTGGCATTAAAAGAAGAAGTGAAGTAACCCCGGAAAAGGACTTGCTACCTCAAGTCCTAATGGAGGGGGATTCCCCTTCTAAAAATTAAAAACTTCGACACTCTCCCCTCCTCCCATCCCATCAATCATCACCAGATCTTCATTAAAGGTAAGTGTCAATTATTCTATTGTGTTTATTCTATTTTTATTATTGCTACTGTAATTATTCTATTGCATTAAACTTAATATTTCATGTGTTAAAAGTTTTTTTTTTTCATACTTTTGGGTGTCCTGCACGGATTAATTTGATTTCCATTATTTCTTATGGGGAAAATTGATTTGTTTTCCGATAATTTTGCTTTACGATGAGCTCTCAGGAACGGATTAATGACATGAACCGGGGGTCCACTGTATTCTTAAATGTTTATACAGTAATGTACTGTATATTTTAATAAACACAATAGAGAAAATCAGCTCTAATATACATTATATAGGTGTGAATACTGGTCAGATAGCCCGTCGTAAGTCCGAGGTATCAGTAAATGAGTACGTTGCTAAGTGAGGAGAGGTTGTATAGATAACCACTAAACCCACAGGGATCATACAATGCCTGGGGACTAAGAGATAATCAGGCTCACTTCAAGAAAGAGGGATAGCCCCAATTTCTTGGATCAAAAATTCTTTGATCCAAGAAATTGGATCAAAGCATCTTGCTTGAATTAATTAATGTACAGTAGGGCCCCACTTATTCGGCAGGTTAGGTTCCAGGCTACTGCCGGAATGCAGGCTTCGCCAGAAAGCAAAACTCCATTTTTTCCCATTTATAAATGCATATAAATGCCAGGTAACAAGTTTACACTAACATATATTAAGTTAGCAATAGAACTAGGCATTAAAAAGTAAAATACACACACAGTACACTCCTTATTTACCTCAAAATATTTGTAGTCTTAATGTAGGGCAAAAGGTGAATAGTATTTACTCTAAGAAGTCAGGTGTGGTAGCCCTCTTGGTCACCCCACCCACACATACTATACTACAATGCTTAAAGCTCCCTAGAACGATAAAATGCATATACAGTAGACTCTGTACTTACCTTAATTACCTTAAAATATTTGTAGTTTTAATGTAGGGTGAGAGGTGAGTTTTATTTGTATGGAGTCAGGTTGGGAAGTATGGGAAGCCAGGAAGCACAGCCCTCACCACCCCACCCATACATAATGTAAACAAACCAGACGAACGCTACCACAAGTCCTACAAGTTGCCTGGCTACCACAAGTCCTACAAGTTGCCTAGCTACCACAAGTCCTACAAGTTAACTGGCTACCACAAGTCCTACAAGTCACCTGGCTACCACATCTCATATTTATGTTAGTTTATTCTACTGTGGGGTGCATTTAGATGGATTAAGCGAAATGTCTATATTAACGTTTTATACGATATTTAATGCTCCTTAGAGTGATTATTATTGTTATTATTATTAATATGGCATCTTCAAGACTAATAAGACACTCTTAGTGATTTTAATGTGTACCTGCATGCCAGCACAGTGTGTAAGTTTACTAAGGTACAGGTACACATAAGTATCAGTTATAATAATAATGTAGGTATGTAGTCCGCCTGGGCTACATACCTACACCTACCTACATAGCTACACGATATTTAATGTGGCCCAGAGCCATATTATTACCATCGAGATACCATGTTCACTGAGTTTAATAATTTCTATCAACTACCTTTAGATGCCATCATAAACAAAGGGAGAAGTAATGAATAATTCAAGCCGAGAATTGTAAACAAAAGCGTTATGTATTAAGGGGAGTGACATAATGTTTTCCCTCTGCCAGGCTACCACACCTCCATAGTATATAAACATAAAATATTTATATGTTATGTAACATGTTTCTTATATAATTTTGAAGAAAATACAGTGGTCCCTCAATAATCGTCCGGCCTGAAAGTCGTCCATTTCGGAAATAGTCCCGTTATTTCGTCTGAACATTGGCTCGCAAATGGTCCGTTAACTCGCTAGTCGACCTTCGTCCGGGACGGGTACTCACGCTCTGAGCCACCTGGGCCTGCCTTCCCAGCCAGTGTGCCATTGTTTACCAGTGAGCGACGGTCCCCTCACATGCTCCTACGAAATATTTCATAATATTCCATTGGTTTTAGTGCTTGCAAGTGCTAAATAAGCTACCATGGCTCCAAAGAAAGCTTCTAGTGCCAGCCCTTTGGTAAAGAATGTGAGAAACATAATTTATGAAAAAGTTTGTAGAAAAATACAAAGGTGGTAGTGGTGGTGGTAGAGTGGAAGCAATTGCGATAGTGGTTGATGGTGGTAGAAGGTAGTAGTGATGGTGGTAACAGTTGTAATAGTGGTAGAAGGTCGTAGTGATGGTGGTAGAGGGTTCCTTCTTTAGTGATTCAGCGATTCTACCAACTTCTCCAATGTTGTTGGAGTTATATAGGGCTACAGAAAACACCGCCACCTCAGCTGCTGCTTCACCACCATTATGGACGGCTTACACTCAGTGGCCCTTATATACCCAACAACAACAACAACACAACACCTCTTGTGACATACGTAATGACTTATTTTATTCATTCTAGAGTGTATTCCATGTTTCTATGTTATTAATATTGTTTATTATGTCATATTAGTTGAATTGTGATAGATAAATAAGCCATAGAGTTGATATTAGTGTCATATTCTCCAACAATAAACTTGCCATCCCTCCCTCACACAAACAAATCTCCAATAAGAACATAAGAAAGGAGGAACACTGCAGTAGGCCTGCTGGCCCATACTAGGCAGGTCCTTTACAATCCTTCCCACTAAGAACATAACGATGGAAGAACACTGCAGGTCTATTGGCCCATATAAGGCAGGTCCTTATCAAAATGACCTCTACCCAAAGCTACCCAAGAATTTACTCCCATACCCAATGACACAAATCAAACTCAGCTCCTCCAACTCATATATTTGTCCAATCTCTTCTTAAAGCTACCCAAGGCCCTAACCTCGTTCACTCTACTGGTAAGTGTGATGTTAAATAAGAACTTAAGAAAGTAGGAACACTGCAACAGGCCTGCTGGCCCATACTAGGCCAGTCCTTCACAAATCCAACTCACTAACAGAACAAATGCTACCCAAGCAATAAGCTCAGGTGCAAGTCCGACTCAAATCCAACCCTTCTCACTCGTGTATTTATCCAACCTAAATTTGAAACTACCCAAGCCATAGCTTTTAGAACATAAGAAAGGAGGAACACTGCAATAAGCCTGTTCGCCCACACTAGGCCGGTCCTTCACAAATCCAACCCACTAACAGAACAAATGCTTTGTAAATGAATGGTTCAGAGAACCGACATGTTGATAAATTAGACACATGTGCAACTCTTGGGTATCTTTATTGAGGAAACGTTTCGCCACACAGTGGCTTCATCAGTCCATACCAAGGAGAATCTTGAAGAACAGGAGGAGAATGAGGTAATCAGTCCCTCAACCTTGAGTCGATGCGGTCAGTCCATCAATCTTGAATAGAATACGGCATATGGGCGGAGAAGGAGCTTATAAACCGTAGGCAGGAGAGGTGCAGCAGAGGTAGGTGGTGTCACTGTGGAAGTAGGTCGTGCCCAAGGGTTAGGCAAGCGAAGAATTCCCAAGTATTAAGATCCCAAGAAGTTGCAGTGTCTGACAGGATTGTAAATGAATGGTTCAGAGAACCGACATGTTGATAAATTAGACACATGTGCAACTCTTGGGTATCTTTATTGAGGAAACGTTTTGCCACACAGTGGCTTCATCAGTCCATACCAAGGAGAATCTTGAAGAACAGGAGGAGAATGAGGTAATAAGTCCCTCAACCTTGAGTGGATGTGGTCAGTCCATCAATCTTGAATAGAATACGGCATATGGGTGGAGAAGGAGCTAATAAACCTACCTCTCGTGAAGTTAGCGGTCACGACGATGTTTACGCATTGGCGATTTTGCCCATTTTGAGCCCTATTTTTGGCCAATTCCAGTGTACTAGTCGACAAAAATCATAACTATTTCACTAGAACTCCATTTTTTTCTATCGAATGAGTACAAGAAACCACCCATTTACCGATTTCAAATATCCAATAAAGTGGTCAGAATTTAGCAATTTTGCCAATTTCACACAAATTTCAAAAGATGCCAATTTCCAAACAGGGTCCAGAATAAACAAGACATTCCTGGCACTAAAATAACATTTCCTCTGTTCATTAGTCACATCCCCATGCCCCTCTTACATTTCTTTTGCTTTCCACTTTGAATTTTTATTCTCACAAAAAATAGAAGATTTACTGTTATGCAGATTACTGCATTAATGTAGAATGGTATAAATAATACCAGCGCACTTGTGAAAGAATATTAGAGTCACCAGTTGATGTGTATTGGACGCGTGGCATGATTTGTTTTCTTTTGAACTTTGGCAAAAATTGAACATTACTGCTACTTTGAGCTCAATTTCAAGGTACTTTTCATTGTGAAACCAATCAAAATCATCTCAATTTCTGTAATATGTCTTCCATTCTATAAAATAGGACCAGGAAAACTAGAATACAACCATAAATACCATACGAAAATACAATGCAAAGTCGCTGTTTTAAACCAAAAACACGGTCAAAGTTTTTTTTCTCATTATGCACTGTGTGCTGCAGGATTTTTTTTATACTGCACACACTGACCACATAGACCCATTCTTTCATATGTAGGCCAACGAGCTTTCTCTTGCTAGATTTGAGGGGGCTAGAATTTATGCGTACTAGTACGTCAAAAACCTTGGCGCGTAAGCCATACTAGTAAGGCCGAAACCCCGAAAGGGTTAATGGACATTGGAAATATTGGACAAAATCCTCTGGTCAAATAAATCTGTAACCAATAAATTCTGTTGGAAATAGAAATGTCCATTATTGTTGTGATCACAGCAAAACAATTTTATTTCTACATACCACAACTGCCCTTACTGAGCAACCACTCCTCTTTCAGTCTATTAAATTGAAGGTTTATTTTGCATATTTGTCTATCCTCTCCTTTTTATAATATGTACAACTGAATTGCTTAACCTCTTGTCCTGTATCCAATACTAAAGTTAAAGAGAGAAACTTTCGTTTTTCGTTTTAGGTCACCCTGCCTCAGTGGGATATGGCCAGTTTGATAAAAAAAAAAAAAAACTGCATTGCCTGTTAACAAACCACCTCTTATTATAAAATCTTTCTGAGCAGGTCATTTACCGACCGTGTATAATTCATATTATACCATTTTTCATGTTCTATTATTTTATAAGAAAAAAAATTACAAAAGAAGTAACCAGAGAGGATGGAATGGTCCCCACAGCAAACCAAGTAAGGGTTAATCTAAGTGATGTATATGTCATGCACAATTTCATGCCAGTGGCTCATATAAGCACTGTGCAAGAATGGTATATAATACCAACAAGATGAAATTAAGACACATGTGCAACATCTGGGTATCTTTATTGTAGATGTTTCGCCATCCAGTGGCTTTATCAATACAAATTCTAGGACATAGCTTGAAGACAGTAGGACCATATACAGAAGATGAGGTAATCAGTCCCTAAACCTAGGAGTAGGTGCGAAGAGCACCATAGTCGTGGAGATTCTGAAGCAGAAGCAAGGAGCCTGGCGCTTATATAGTAACGTCAGGTGTAGCAGACGAGGGCATAATCACTGGTAGGCGGGATTCCCCAGTGGAAGTAGGTCCTTCCCAAAGAGATAGGTTAGTTGTAGTAGTAGTTGTCGTAGTCATGAAGGTTATGTGCATGTCCTCAGAGGACATGTACGACAACTACGACAACTACGTGTCCTCAGAGGACATGTACATAACCTTCATGACTACGACAACTACTACTACAACTAACCTATCTCTTTGGGAAGGACCTACTTCCACTGGGGAATCCCACCTACCAGTGAATATGCCCTCGTCTGCTACACCTGATGTTACTATATAAGCGCCAGGCTCCTTGCTTCTGCTTCAGAATCTCCACGACTATGGTGCTCTTCGCACCTACTCCTAGGTTTAGGGACTGATTACCTCATCTTCTGTATATGGTCCTACTGTCTTCAAGCTATGTCCTAGAATTTGTATTGATAAAGCCACTGGATGGCGAAACGTCTACAATAAAGATACCCAGATGTTGCACATGTGTTTTAATTTCATATAAACACTGTTTATTTTTTTTATTTTTTTTTAATATGTTGGTCATTTTCCACCAAGGCAGGGTGACTCTAAAAGAAAGAAAAAACAAAAATAAAGAGAAAAGTTTCATCATCATTTAACACTTTCACGATCACTCATACATAATCATTGTCTTTGCATAGGCGCTCAGATACGACAATTTAGATGTCCCTCCAAACTGCCAATGTCCCAAACCCCTCCTTTAAAGTGCAGGCATTGTACTTCCCATTTCCAGGACTCAAGTTCGGCTAACCAGTTTCCCTGAATCCCTTCACAAAAAATTACCCTGCTCACACTCCAACAGGTCGTCAGGTCCCAAAAACCATTCGTCTCCATTCACTCCTATTTAACGTGCTCACACACGCTTGCTGGAAGTCCAAGCCCCTCGCCCACAAAACCTCCTTTACCCCCTCCCTCCAACCTTTTCAGGGACAATCAGTGGCATTGTAATGGGGGGCCACCCCGGGTGACACCATTTAGGGGGTGACACCATAAAGCCTCTAAAGAAAGTGATACTAATGCACAAAACAGTGCTGCAGCAACATAAGAGAAAAATCCTTAGTTTCTATATAGCCTATTATATGATTACAGAGTACAAATAGGGCTATACAGGGAAAATCATTAATTTTGATGATGTGATAGATGATTTTGCAGGGCTGAAGGCAAGGAAATGTAAGTTCAGTCACTGAGATGTTACCTGTACTCAAGGTCAAATTGGAACTAGTGTTTCTCTGATATTGCAATGTTTTTCCTCATTTTTAAGTTCTTTTTTTTTTTTGCACTGTTGAAGATGAATAAATGTAGGATCTGTTGCCTGTACTCAAAGTGGTATTTGAGTTTATGTTTCTTCAATATTACTATGATTATTTATCATTAATAATTCTGAGAAGTATTCTCCTGTTCGGTTTAAGACCTTTAAATGCTCTCATTGCTAAACATTAGTCACTGGTCATGCAGTAGTGACGTAACTGGAGTTTACTCCCTCATCCCCTGCCCTTGGATTTCATGGGGGTGACACCAATATGGAGCCCAGGGTGACACCAACCCTAGCAATGCCACTGGGGACAACCCCTACCCCACCTTCCTTCCCCAGCAGATTTATATGTTCTCCAATTCATTCTACTTTGATCCATTCTCTCTAAATAACCAAACCACCTCAACAGCCCTCTGACTAATACTTTTAGTAGCTCCACA